TTTTTTGAATTTTTTTTGTAGATAGATAATTAACCTCCCCTCATCACAACACATCTTGTAGTCCTTTTGATTCCAGAAAGTTCAGAATAGCTTTTTTAGGCAGTGAGCGTATGCTGCTTAGTCATCACCTCGATACAGCATCACATTCAAGGAGCAGGTGCAATGTAGTCTCCACAGTTGCGTCACAGAAACGACGGAGGTCATTCGGCTAGATTCCCAGTTTATACAGATGTCTTCTTAGCCTGCAGTGCCCAGTATGGATACCTGTAACGATTCTAAGTGTACGTTTTGGGAGCTTAATTAGATGTTTTGCATCTTTTTAGGTGCATCCTCCCAGTAATCTCTTGGCCTGTAATTGTTTTTAGGCCTACTGCAAGGAATGGCTCGGGAGCTATCAGAGCTGAGACCGACGATATTTCAGCTAAGCCTTCCGTTATCTCAGTCCCCTGAATTCCCTCGAGACCTGACACCCACAGAAGCTGGATGTTGCTAAATTCAGCAAGGGCATTAAGGTTTTCTATGCAATCAAGGACTATGGAGGATTTATTCTCGAAGGACAATAATGCTACCTGGTTGTCGCTAAGGATCAGGATTTCCTCATTAATGTAGTCTTTCTGTAGCTTTTTCTTTGCACACCGATTGATGGCTATATTTCCACTTGGAAGATGCTAGGAAATGTGCCCGGAGCCCGTAAATGCCTATCCCGTTGCCTTCTGGTATTTTCGAGCCGTCGGAGTACCATTGTCCCAGTACCAGTGCAAAGCTCCATTTTGATCTTCCTCTCAAATATATGTAATTACTTTTTCATATCATTTCTGGGGTAGAGGGCTAGTGGGAGCCTAGATTCTCCATATTTCTAGGCGATTTCGTTTCTACCGAAAAATTTTACCTTTTCATTGCCCTCTCAGCACAAACGCTAAGAACCGGACAATGAAAAGGCAATTTTTTTTTTGTAGAAACGAAAACGCCATGGCTGACAAATTAATGTCTCGTCCAAAAAAAGCAGCTTAGCTTGTATGTAAGACTTATTTTTCTTTTCCTGCTAAAAAAAAAAAAATCCTACATAATTTAATATACCACTTTTTATGACTTTTTTTATTACACATTTATGCTTTTAATATGCCACATTAAAATTTGCTAAAGCACACATGTTTGCTCAGCCTGCGTAAGGTAAAGAGATATCTTGTTTATAAATAAATATCCACTCGTTCCTTTTCTCGACATGAAAACATTTTTTTTCATGATGTTATTTGTCTTGCTAAAGATCTCTATTCTTAAGTTAACTCACTCTGTGAGCGTATGTAATTATATACTATTGTCTTAAATTATATGTACTTAGCTTGAGGTGTTTTATCACGCACTTAAATCATTACATCATCATCGTGGAAGTACTGAAAACCAGTTAGACGTTAATTATGTTTACAAAGTTCACGATAGAAGCTGCCACTGTCTGTCACTGCCAGCAACGAAAATTTGTTCTGATTAAATTAAGCATTTTTTTGCTCAGAATCATCTGCCTCGCTAAGAGAGGCAGTACTAAAATCTGATTGGAAAATTTTACATACAAACGTATGCAGGCATGCATACATACATAAATAAAGCAAATTTTTAACCGACTCCACAAAAAGGAGAAAGGTTATCAATTCGTCGGAATATTTTGTTTTTATGTATGTTACCGCTTAATTTTGGAGTTGATTTTCTCTAATATTTGCACAAAATTTGCAATTTGGATCATAAGAAATTTACGAAAAAGATTTCAGAATGAAAAATATTGCGAATATTGTAAAAATATCACTGCTATGGTTGCCACTCGCCAACATTTTTTTCTACCAAAATTTCTTAAGAAAAGTTACCAAATCTTCAATACCAAAATCTTCACTTCTTCACTGAGAAAAAAATATACTGAATAAAACTGCTATATTTCATAACAAATGTGTATATACTTACAGCCCGATTCTGTGCACTTAATAAATTCAATATCTATATATAAATAGGCAATCATGTTTCCTTTACACCCCTTTTACGGCTAAACTATACTTCTAAGGTATAAACAGTTATATATCATTAGAAAGGTATTTTGATGCTGATGTGCAGGCAATTTTTAAAATTTCAAATCAGTTTAAAATAGAGCGAAAAAATCAATTCAAAAGTCACACCAATACCAATGCACACATGTACATGGTTGGGCGGAAATGCCCCCTAAATGTATGCTTTAATATTGATAGCGAATTAAAGAAACGTGCTAAGCAGCAGTTCAGGAATAAAATGTATGTATGTATGTACATGAATAGATTAGACTCAAACAAGGATGAAAATAATTTTGAGTATGGGGAAGAAGAAAGTGATAAATACAGAAATTAAAATAAAAGTAAAGAAACCTAAATATAAAGACAAAGAGGAAGGAAAATTTAAATACCTAACCTAATAACAATGGTGGGGGTGAATATGTAAATGAAGAAAAGAATGGACATATTTAGATCAGGATAAAGGAAAAGATAAAGATGAAGACCAAGACGACGAAGATGAAGATGAAGATGAAGATGAAGATGAAGATGAAGATGAAGATGAAGATGAAGATGAAGATGAAAC